CTTTCTACCACTGAGCCATTTTTCCAGGCTCTAGAGTGAGATTTAAATAAAGGAGGAAAGCTGTTACTATTGTCACCTCTCAGTATTGTTATTATTATAATTATTTTTGAAAGAGACAATGTGCTGTAATAGAGGCATAGCCTTTGGAATGAGAGTCCTCTTAGCCTCTTTATCAACCATAATTTTTTTGGAATATAATCTTTCTGGACCTCAATTGCCTCATTTATAAAATTGTCTTGTAGTGTTTGAGAATTAAAGATTTTTAAAAGCCCCTCTTTAATATGTGTTGGTTGATATTAGAAAAACATGGATCAAATTGTAGAGGGGAAACAGGATGGGAAAGCAAAGGGGAGAGGACTTTTGTTTTTCAGCATTTAGGAAAGATGATTACTTTGGTTGCTTGCATGTTTGGCATTAACTGTAGGCTATCTTCTTTGCTAGGTAAGAAACTTTGGATACTATGTTTTGGTTTGTGTACTAGGGGTTTCCAGCCTCTTTGCAAAGAGGAACTTGAAGTCCTGTGCAAGGTTGATTGTCCTAACATGGCTGTTTTGCTGTAGGTGCTGTGCCTGAGGAACAATACCATTTTTAAGCAAGGCTTTTCCCACTTGAGGTAAGGATATTAGTAACAAATATAGCTAACAGTAGCATTCATAGTTCACATAGCATTTTTCTTTCTTCATGTCTGCTTCTATGACTACTAAGCATCTTTATTTATTTATTTATTTTTAAAATTTTTTAGTTCTAGGCAGACATAACACCTTTGTTTGTATGTGGTGCTGAGGATCGAACCCGGGCCGCACGCATGCCAGGCGAGCGCGCTACCACTTGAGCCACATCCCCAGCCCCTACTAAGCATCTTTAATCCCCTACCATCTTACTTCTTCCCCATTTTCAGCTAAAGGCAGTTCCAGTCATCTGATTGTAATCCTTGTCACTGTTATTTCTCTTATTTTATACCCAATTCTTCAACAAAACCTGTTGAAGACTTTTTTTTTTTTTTTTTTTGTGGTGTTGAACCCAGAGGCTCTCTACATATCCCCAACCTTTATAAAAATGTTTTTTTTTTGTTTTGTTTTTTTTTTCTGAATTGCTGAGGCTGGCTTCAGACTTGTAATTTTCCTGTCTTCAGATTCCTAGGTTTACAGGCATTTGGCATGGTGCCCAGCTAAATCAAGCCATTTCTGACCTCCAGTTTTTAGCCTAATGCTTTCTGTTTTGCTAAACCATTGGGGAGCAGCTCTTTATCTTCACATCACTTTTGCTACCATCACTCTTCTTTCTATCTGATCTCCCTGTGTTTACTTTTAACTTCTCTCCTTCACACTAAAATCAGAGTGATTCTTTCAAAACCAAGTTAGCTTACATTACCACTCTTCAGCTCAAAATTCTCCAGTGGTATCTCCTCTTACTCAAAATAAAATCTACAATCCTTACCATTGCCCATAAGGCCTTATGTAATCTGTTCCCTCATTTTATGCTAGTTATTCAGCTTTGCCACACTGGTGCCTTCCTATTCCTGGATGATCTAAGCACTTTCCCACCCCAGATTTTTGCAGATTCTTTCTTTTGATATCCATATGACTCACCCTCTGACTTTATTTAGATTTGTGCCTGAACATCATCTCATCAGAGAAGTCTTCTGTTACACTGTATGTAAAATACCTCTATCAGTCTCTATCCCTTTACCTTGCTTTATTTTTCTTAATGGCAGATATTACTCCTTAATGTATTCTACACATATAATTTTTAAAAAACTCTCTGTACCCTTCCCCTGAATATAAACATCATTGGGATAAAGTCTTCATTAGTTTTGTTATTGCCTAATTCTTAAGACTTGGAATGAAGTCTGGTAGTGAACATTTAACAAATATTTGTTAAATGTTTACCTGGTAAAAGGGGTAATAGTATCTGAATTTTTTACATAAATAATTGAGGTCCAGAGAAGTCAATCTCTTTCTCTAAGATGACATAGCTAATATGAGTCAGAATTAGGGTTCAAACCCAAATTGTTGTTTTACTGAACTGCTTATAGAGTACATCCTCCCCATTGTTTTTCTCTAGATGCTCATGAACTGCATTTGGTAGTTTATTCAGCAGATAATTATCAAGTGTCTTATGAGTAGTAGGCATAGGATGTAAAACAATGAATTGCTTATCTTTCTGGACATTCGCAAGACTTGATGATTTTAGGAGTCCTCACATTTTATCAAATCCTTTTTCTTATTTCTTTTCTGTTTCAATCTGTTTTTTCATCATTAGTCATTCAGCTACTATTTGATAAGCGCTTACTAAGGCCATGCTGGTCACTTTACATGTTACATCTAACTTTCTCAAAAACACTAACAGGACAGATATAAATATTGTCATTTCACAATAGAGGAAACTGACTCAGAGCTTAAGATAAATTTTCAGTCCCATGAGGTTGTACTATTATTATTTATATTGTGAAGAAAAGATAATTGAGTTACAGTGATATTAAACAACTTGCCTAAGGTCTCAGTTTGGGAATGGTTGAGTCAGCATTCAGTCACAGATTTGCTTTTCTTCAATTTATACCATAATTTAGTTTTAAAACTCCTAGGAGGAATGCTGGGGATATAGCTCAGTTGGTGGAGTGCTTGCCTTGCATGCACAAGACCCTGGGTTTAATCCCCAGGACCACAAGATAGACAAACAAGCAAAAAACAAAAACAGAAACAAAGAAACTCCTAGGAGGTGGTGGAACTAAAATACTCCAGTTACCTAGTCAGCCAATCACAGCCAAATTATTTTCTTTCCTATAGTCTGGCTTCAGCTGTCGTTATTTTTTTTTTTTTTTTTTGCAGTACTGTACTACATCCTCACCCTTTTTTACTTTGAGACAGGGTTTCCCTAAATTGCTTAATTGCCTGAGCTGCTCTCAAGCTTGCTGTCCTCTAGCCTCAGACTCTCAAGTAGTTGGGATCACAGGTGTATGCAACCACACCCTCCTTCAGCCTGTTCTAATAATGGGCTATGGCAAGAACCACCTCACTTGTTCTCTTTGACTCAGTTTTACTTCTTCCTGTTCTATCACTCATCTGCTTCCTATTCCAAATTCAAGGTCGATATCATTCCTGTGCTTAAAATCTGCAAGAGCATCTCATTGCCTATAGAGAGTAAAGACCAAACTCCTTAGCATAGCATATGGAGTTCTTCATAACCTGGCCTCTGAATACCTCTCCAATTTTATCTTTTCACCCTGCCTCCTTCCCTACTGCTTAAATTCCATTCATATCCTGCTGCTTGCTGTTCCCCAAACATACCCTTTCATATTTTTGCCTAGAATGCTTTTCTTGCAATGCTAAATAACTGACAACAGTTCTTTTTTTGGGGGGGGTGGGTACCAGAGATTGAACTCAGGTGTACTCAACCACTGAGCCACATCCCCAGCCCTATTTTATATTTTATTTAGAGACAGGTTCTCGCTGAGTTGCTAGTGCCTCACCTTTTGCTGAGGCTGGCTTTGAACTTGCAATCTTCCTGCCTCAGCCTCCCCAGCTGCTGGGATTATAGGCATGCGTCACTGCGCCCGGTGGCAACAGTTCCTTTTTATTTACTTAATTATTTCTGTGCTGGGGATTAAATCTAGGGCCTTGCGCATGGTAAGCAAGTGATCTACTATTCCTCCAGCCCATAGTTCCTTATTTTTGTTTTATTTTGGCTTTTTGGTAGTGGGGATTGAACCCAGGGGTGCTTAACCACTGAGCTACATCCCCAGCCCTTTCATTTTTTTTGAAATAGAGACTTGCTAAATTGCTGTGGCTGCCCCTTGAACTTGGGATCTTCCTGCCTTAGACTCACTGGGATTACAGGCCTGTGCCACTCCATTCATAGTTTCTCATTTTTAAAAACTCAATTCAAATAGTTCTGCCTCCCTGGTAGAAGTGACCATACTTTGCTTTGTGTGTCCTATTGAATCTTTTTTTTTTTTTTTTTTTCAGTGCTAGGTATTGAGTCCAGAGTCCTGTGCATACTAGGCAAGCACTCTACCAGTGAGCCACATCTCTCTAGTCCTTGTACTGAATCTTGTCCATGTTTCTGTTCTGGATCAGTACTATATTCGCATTTATGTCCATACATCATTCCCACATACACAGATATCTTACTTATATTTGCATCCTTGGGAGCTGCCACTTTGGCATATAATGATAGAAGTGTAATAATGTTTGTAGAAAGAGGGAATAAGGAAAGATCTAGCATTGGCATATCCTGAGGAGCATAGAAGTTTTGATAACTTTACAAATAAATGTGGATACCTAATTGGATTAAACATACTTTCTCCTTCTCTTTAGATTCAGAGCTTTGGGAGAGAATCCCACTTATTCTGCAGGTAAGTGGTTGTTTCCTTGTATGGTCTGCCTACTTTAAGTGACCTTCTATTCTAGCATTCTATAATAATTTTGCCTAGAAGGATGCCTACCACATATTTGAGAATAGTAGTAGAGACCAAGTCCCACCCCTTGCATAGAATGAACCATGAAGGAAAACCTGAAGTAGTGGTTAAGAGTGAGTGTGCTATAGTAAGTTTGTATTCCACCTGTATCACATACTAATTCTGTGATCTTTGGCTACTTCTCTATAGCTTGTTTCCACATTTAAAAAAAAATGGGGATAAATCTAGAAAAAACTGCAGTGAACTATTTGAAGATTCAATGAAATAAAATGCATAATAATAATAGCAGCTAACTTTTTTAAGTGTTCAAAAAAATTTAGCTTCTGTTGTTACTGTTAATAATGTTACTGTTTCAGACCTATCTTCGAGGCCCACAATCTACCAGCTAAGGTTTTTCTTAAAATATTTTATCTAGAACTAATGTCCATTTAATGTGATTGATTCAACTAACTTCTTTTTTTGTCTGTCTTGTGGTGCTAGAGATCAAACCCAGGGCAGGACCTCATGCTAGGCAAGTGCTCTACCATTTTAAACTACATCTCCAGCCCAATTCAACTAATTTCTTTTCTTTTTCTTTCTTTCTTTCTTTTTTTTTTTTTTTGCCATGCTGTTGATTGAACTCAGGGTCTCATGCATACTAGGCAAGCACTCTATCACAGCCATATTCCCAGCTCCCAGCTCAGCTAATTTCATTCTCTGTGTCAACCCAATTACTTTCCATTTTTACTGTGTAGCATGTGGCAAATTTCAAAGCAATTGTTAGAGTCTAATGCTATCTGTCATATGACTGAATAGTATTAGAGATAAAGGTATGTGTAAGTGAGGAAGGGGACTGACTGACTCAGTGCCTGCTAGGCAAGACAGTGTAAGAGGCTTTACAATATGTTAATTATTTTATTTTTTTTAGTTATTCGTGGGCACAATATCTTTCTTTCTTTCTTTATTTATTTATTTTATATGATGCTGAGGATCGAACCCAGGGTCTCACATGTGTTAGGTGAGTGCTCTACTGCTGAGCCACAACCCCAGCCCATGTTAATTATTTTAAAGGATAGTAAAAATGTGTGAGGAACCACTACTGCTACTGGACCCAAAGCCTAGTATCTCAAAATACGGGTTTTATTTATTCATTCTCTCAATAAACATATATTGTATCAAGGTGTTTTTAGGTGGTAGAGATACAAAATTAAGAAGATATGGGCTGAGGTTGGGCATGGTGGTGCATCCCTGTACTTCTGTGACTCTGCAAGCTGAGGCAGAAGAATCACAAGTTTGAGGCCAGCCTCAGCAACTTAGTAAGAACCTGTTTCAAAAAAAAAAAAAATTAAAAAAAATGGAACTGGAGGTATATCTCAGTGGTAGAGCACCCATAGGTTCAATATCTCCAGAACCATACACCCATACACACACAAAAAAAAAAAAAAAAAAAAAAGGAAGAAGAAGATATGGTCTGGGGGGATGTGTAGCATGGTAGTATACTCACTTGTAGTATACTTACCTTGTGTGTGCAAGTCCCTGGATTTGATCCTCAGTACCCCTAAAAAAAAATAAAACAAAAACAATAACAAAAAGCAAGGATATAGTTATTTCTTGCCATTTAGAAGCTTACAGTCTTGTAAGAAATAATCTTAGGGCTGGGGTTGTGGCTCAGTGGTAGAATGCTTGCCTAGCATGTGTGAGGCATTGGGTTGGATTCTCAGTGCCACATATAAATAAATGAATACAATAAAGGTCCATCAACATCTAAAAAAAAATTGGAAAAAAAAAGAAATATTTTTTCTCTCAAGAATAATACAGTGAGCACTTCAATACCCACCACTTAGATTTAGCTATCAATATTTTGTCATGTTAACCTTCCTTATCAGATATTTCATCCCTAAATGTTTTAGCATGCATAGGACATTCTCTGTGTTCTGTTGAAGAAACATAATGTTATTATCTCTCTCAAAAAAAGTTAATAATAATGCCATAATATCATCTAGCATTCTATTCATTTTCTCATTTGTCCTTCAAATTTCTTTTCTGGGTGTTGTTTTTAACCAAAAGTGATTGAAATTTCACATTTTGCATTTTGCCATTTGTCACTGTTAATCTAAAACAGTTCTGCCACTTTTCTTCTCTGATAATAGTGTTTTTTGTTTTTGTTTTTTTTAATACTGAGGATTGAATTTTGGGCCTTACACCCGATGGACAGGTGTTCTGGTTATCACTAAGGTACACATCTGGCCCAGCAGTGGTTTTTTTTTTTTTTAAACAGTTCTGGGGATTGAACCTATGGGCAGTCTACCACTGGGCTACATCCCCAGTCCTTTTAACTTTTATTTTGAACAGGGTATTGCTAAGTTTCCCAGGTTGGCCTTGAATTTGCCATTCTCTTGCCTCAGCCTACAGAGTCACTGGAATTATTGGCATGTACCACCATGCCAACTCCAACAGTGATGTTTTTGATGAGACTTGACTGTTTATCTTAAAGAATATCCTTTCTTCTGATTTGTCTATTTTCTCATAGCATGGCATAACATGTTCTTCTGCCCCCTTCCTACAAACTGGAAGTTAGATCTAAAAGCTTCAGTTCCAAAAGTTTTAGAATGAAAACATCATAGCTGATACTCTGAATTTTATATTGCATCCTATCAGGAGAATTTTTAAAAACTGAGACTATATGATTATAAAATTAAAAAGCAGGGCTGGGGATGTGGCTCAAGAGGTAGCGTGCTCACCTGGCATGTGTGCGGCCCGGGTTCGATCCTCAGCACCACATACAAACAAAGATGTTGTGTCCCCTGAAAACTAAAAAATTTTTTAAAATATTAAAAATAATAAAAATAAAAAGCAGCCAGATGTTGGGGCACTGTAGTTCCAGCTGTATAGGAGGCTGGGGCAGGAGGGCATAAGTTTGAGGCCAGAATCAGCAACTCAGCAAGACCTTGTCTCAAAATGTAGAAAGGGCTGGGGATAACATTCAGTGGTAAAGCACACCTGGGTTCAATCGCCATTAATGAAAAAAAAAGAAAGTAAAAAGCATTTCTTTTGTGAATATGGAGAACACATCCGCACCCATACCACACTCAGGAAGAAACTAGAAAAGAAGATTATTATGTAACATTTTGTCATATATCTTTTTTTAAAAAATACTTTTTTAATTGTAGATGGACACAATAACTTTATTTAATTTACTTATTATCGTGTGGTGCTGAGAATTGAACCCAGTGCCTCATATGTGCTAGGCGAGCGATCTACCGATGAACCACAATTGGCATATATCTTAGCAGATTGCTTGCTCTTTTTCTGTCACAACATATTGTATTTTTTCCTTATTCTCTGTGTGTGTTATAACAATGGAAACATTATTATAACCTTCTTTTTTTGGAGGGGGGAGGGCTACCAGGGATGGAACTCAAGGGCACTTGACCACTGAGCCACATCCCTGTCCTTATTTTGTATTTTATTAGAGACTGGGTCTCACTGAGTTGCTTAGCGCCTTGCTAAATTGCTGAGGCTGGCTTTGAACTTGTGATCCTCCTGCCTCCACCTCCTAAGCCGCTGGGATTACTGGCATGAGCCACCATGCCCAGCCTAATCTTCTATTTTTCACTTTGGTGAACATATTTATACTTAAAACAATCTACATTATTATTTTGAATGGCTGCATTTGAATGGGGGCAAAATTTTGAGTTTGAAGATGTTGAATTGGAGTGCCTTTGAGGGTATTAAGTAGGACACTGGAAATGCTGATTCTTAGTTCAAACTGTAGGTCTGGATTGAAACTATAAGTTTGGAAGTCATCATTTTGTTGATTTTAATTGCAGCCATGAGAGTGAATAACATCATCTAAGGAGAAAAGACAGAGGATGGATTAGTAGATCCTGAGAAAGATGGCTAATGAAGAAATTTGGAAAAAACCAGGATGGAAAAAAACAGGATAGTATAGTTTCCTGGCAGGCAGGAGGAGTGTTTTGGGAAGGAAAGAGTGGTCAACTATGTCACAGTTTCAATTTCTTGTGCTGAGAGACCAGGAAAGATATTGTATGCATTTTAACAACATAGAGATCATTGGTGACCTTAGGGAGAGGAGTCTGTGTAGATAGAATGGGTGGAATTTGTTGACAAGTGAATGAAAGTTCAGGAGTTAGAGAAAGCCACTATAAACAATGTTAAGAAGTGAGATTGAATTGGAAAAGAGATTCAGGAGCTGGAGAGGGATATGGGGTTGAGGGAAGGATTTGTGTGTGTGTGTGTGTGTGTGTGTGTGTGTGTGTGTGTTCGTGTGCATGCTCGTACTCTGCGTGCACATACATGTGGTTGTTTTTATTAATTTAATTTGAAAGTTAAATCTGTAGAAAAGTAAAAATGGTCATATGTTCAAAAACCCCTGTATTGGGAACTATTAACATTTTGTCAGATTTTTGTTGTCTTTTTTAATTTTTGTATTAAAAACAAAACAACAAGAGTTATATTCAAATCTTGTTTATTCCCTTTCCTTAGACTCATCTCTTATCCTTAAACCAGAGGCAAACTTTGTTTGGAACAAATAAATATTCTGAGGAAGGATTTTTTTAAAAAATTACTATTTAAATGATCAACTTTTAAAAATATGAAATTGGAGAAGGGTAGGGAAGAATGAAGGAACTTCGGATTGTGCAGAGGGGCATGAGGGGAGGGGTGGAGCAGTGGGAATGGGAAGGAGGAGGATAGAATGAGACAGACATTATTACCCTATATACATGTATGATCACAATATTGGGATGACTCAGCACCTACATGGCAGAGGAATGAGAAGTTATACTCCATTTGTGTACAATGTGTTAAAATATATTCTGTTATATATAACTAGTTAGAACAAATTTAAAAATATGAAATGGATACATGGTAAAAGTAAATATAAATGAAACAAAAACAGAATAAGATGAAAAATTAAATATTCTTTGTCTTTTCCAGTCAGTAGTAGCCACTGATATTAGTTTCTTATATATCTTGTGTATGTGTGTGCTGGGGATTGAATCCAGCATCTTGCACATTCTAAGCATGTTCTTTACCACTGAGCTATTTTATTTTCCTTTAAATAGGTTGTCCATCTGGATTTAGAAGCTTTTTCCCAAAAATGGGTAGTGACTTGTTACAACATTTATTCATTTTTTTTCCTATTGGTTTGACTGTACTCAGGAGTCCCTCTCGTATGTCTTTCAGGAAAGTTTAATGCATATGTGAAGATGTATATTGTGTCTATGTATGACAGTGTCTTAATGCTGGACACTTAAGTTATTTTTAGTTTTTTGCTACTTCAAAATATGCTGCAACAACCATTTACATATACTTTTGTAAACTGTGTCTCTATATTTATAAGATAAATTCCTGGAACTGCAATTTCTGAGTCAATGGATTATGAATTAAGAACTTTGGTAAGTATTACAAGATTGCTCTTTAGAAAACTATTAATTTATATTTGTATTTTGTGGCCCAATTTGACTTTTACAAAGCATTTTATTTAATTTTTTGCTTGTGAAATATTAT